CCCCCCGCTGGTTATGTACCTGGGCAATTACAGTTCCTGGGAACTAACGCCCAGTACTCAGCGTGGCTCAAGAGCCTGTGCTCATCTTGCCACGTTGACCTTGGTCTCCCAGCGTATGCCCTTGGCCACACCCAGCTGCTGGAGAGTCAAACACACTCAACCTTCCTGCTTCCAGCATTAGCTCAGGCCCTTCCCTCTGCCGAGACCAATTTGGGATTTAAGGTCACTTCCAGGAGTCTCTTCTGTCTCTCCTCCTGGCAGGCCACCTGGGGATCCTGCTGCCCCTCCGTCCTACGATGGTGCCCAGCATGGCTAGTTCGGTTGTGGCCTCCCTCCCGGACATAGCTGTCACCTACACTGAACTCACAGTGACTGTTTAACTTCATTAACTTTACTGCTCGTTTACTTCTTATACTTTATTGCAGTGTCTGTTGAAAGAGAAACCATCCAATTGTTTGAACAACAAAGTAGCTGGTTTGGATCTAGAAGGCACAGGCTGCCTCCACCCCCAACCCCCTGGGGAAAGATGGAAAAGGCCCAGGAAAGCAAACAAGTATGAAGGATCTCTGAAAGGGAGGCCATCAGAACAGGATCTGAGGGGGAAGACAACCCGGGGCCCCCAGGGCAGGACAGATGTAACATGGGAGCCTGGACTCAGGCTGGAAGTGACACAGGCTGCACCAAGCAGGGGCACCAAGGCCCAGAGAAAGGGGCTCAGAGCCCTAGGTTAAGGACCCCATTTATTGGTTGGCACTGACATCTACTGTCATATCTAAGAACTGCAGCCACATGAGCCACGTGGCCTCCCGCTGTAGCAGGGGGAAAGGCGGTGCCTGGGAGACTGGATCCTGGCTCTCTCATAAGAAAACTATTCACTCACTGGAAAACAAATATTGTCAAGTGGAACTGTAAGAAACTTGAAAGTGTTGTGTACTTTGACAAGGTCTGTTTCTGTGACATAAGTGCAATTTCCCAGAAGTTTTGTGTTCAGGCACATGGTTGGTGATGAGAAGCCCTTGATTACAAAACAGGGTGTTGGCTTTCAGTGATTTTTTTTTTTAATTTTTTGTTTAATGTTTATTTTTGAGACAGAGAGAGACAAAGCATGAACGGGGGAGGGTCAGAGAGAGAGGGAGACACAGAATCTGAAGCAGGCTCCAGGCTCTGGGCTGTCAGCACAGAGCCTGACCCGGGGCTCAAACCCACGAACCGTGAGATCATGACCTGAGCTGAAGTCGGATGCTTAACCAACTGAGCCACGCAAGCACCCCTGCTTTCAGTGATTAAAGACGCTGTGTTCTTTCCTTCTTGAGACACCGCTAAGATGCTAGTGAAACCATTCACCAAGGGTTAACCAAGAGTTAACAAGGCAGGTAGTGCAGCTCAAATCTTTCCCCCAAATCTGCTTCTCTGCCACCTTGTTTCGGTAAGATAATATTCATGCTCGATGCCATGATAGCCAACTGTGAATTCTGTTGTTTTGCAGGAGATCAAGTTTTCATAAAGAAACCAGCCAGGGTGGGTGGCTCAGTGGGTTAAGTGTCCGACTTTGGCTCAGGTCATGATATTGTGGTTCATGAGTTCCAGCACCTCATCAGGCTCTGTGCTGACAGCTCAGAGCCTGGAGCCTGCTTCGGATTGTCTCCCTCTCTCTCTGCCCCTGCCCCACTTGCACTCTCTCAAAAATAAATAAACATTCGGGGCACCTGGGTGGCGCAGTCGGTTAAGCGTCCGACTTCAGCCAGGTCACGATCTCGCGGTCCGTGAGTTCAAGCCCCGCGTCGGGCTCTGGGCTGATGGCTCGGAGCCTGGAGCCTGTTTCCGATTCTGTGTCTCCCTCTCTCTCTGCCCCTCCCCCGTTCATGCTCTGTCTCTCTCTGTCCCAAAAATAAAATAAACGTTGGAAAAAAAAAATTAAAAGAAAAAAAATCCCTGGGGCATCTGGGTTCCTCAGTCGGTTAAGCATCTGACTCTTGATTTGGGCTCTGGTCATGATCTCATGGTTTGTGAGATTGAGCCCAGTATTGGGATCTCTGCTGACAGTGCAGAGCTTGCTTGAGATTCTCTCTCCCTCTCTCTCTCTCTCTGCAACCCTCTCAAAATAAATAAATAAACTGTGAAAAACTTTTTTTGTTTGAAAATGGCCTGTGATAGCAGAATCGAATCTATAACTACAGAGGACGAACTATTGGGTGCCAGAGGGAAGACGGGGTGAGGGCATTGGGAAAATAGCTGAAGGGGAGTGGAGGTACAGGCTTCCAGTTATGGAATGAATAAGTCAAGGGGATGAAAGGTACAGCACATACAGTCAATGATATTGTAAGAGCATCGTATAGTGAAGGATGGCATCTACATTTGTGAGCACAGCATAAAGTACAGAGTTGTCAAATCACTATGCTGCACACCTGAAAATGGCGTAACTGTGTGTCCACTAAAAAGTATTTTTTAATAAATAAATGATTTTTAAAAATCATTCCATTTCCGGAAAAAAAAAAAAAAAAAAAAAAGACGCACGGTACCCTTACCCAGCAATGCCATTTGTGGGAGTGTCCCACAGTTGTATTCAGCAGTGACCCACGAGGGCAGTGGCAGTAATAGTCACAGATTACTGGTCCATTAGCAGGAACTGGGTGGCCCTGTTCCCGTCCACAGGTGCAGTGGCCACCGTGCACCGTAGTAAAGCGCACTTTACTCAGTGACTCAGTGAGCTCATACATGCATTGTGCTCAGAGCTGGGCGTGGCTCATCAGAAGCATATTATACAGGGGCACCGGGGTGGTTCAGTTGGTTAAGCGTCCGACTTTGGCTCAGGTCATGATCTCATGGTCCATGATGAGTTCAAGCCGCGCATCAGGCTCTCCGCTGTCAGCGCAGAGTCCACTTCGGATTCTCTGTCCCTCTCTTTCTCTGCCCCTTCCACACTTGCATTTGATCTCTAACTCCCTCTCTCAAAAATGAGCATTAAAAAAAAACTTAAGAAAAAAGAAGCATACTATATAACTCAGCTGCCCCAGTTCTTAAAAAAAAAAAAAGTTCTCTAATGAAATGACCATGTATCAAAATACTTCTCAATAACTAGTGTCTCCCTGACACCAGTGCCTCCTGGTCCATCACACCAACCTTTTCACCAGTTACCACTTCACTGCTATTTTCTTATTCAAATACAACTACAAATCTCTCCAAAGATGCAGGATGCCACAAAATAATGGCAGCAGATGCCTTTGATCCACGGTCAGGTCTGCAGACTTGTTTAGAAACCTGTATGACAGTGATTTCACTGTTTGAAGCCCTTAGGGCAGGATTCATCGAATGGAATATACAATGAAACTGTCAAAGTTCAGTCACAGTTGGTCTGAAACCTATTTGGTGTTAGACGCATTGAAGCAAGCCCAGGCAGAGCTCGCAGCTCATCAGGAAAAAAATTCTCCATGCTAACAACCTCATTGGTATCTCAATTTGGGGACTTAATGCTGATGCTAGACAACTGTGTGATTTTACGCAGCTGGAGTGTCTGGATTCCAGATGTGTATTTGACTGAACCTCTCCTTGTGTCTTGTCTTGTATCTGTAACTGGAAGCAAGGCCCAGATACCAAAACAACGTAGCCTGAGACCTTATGGTGCTGGACAACTTATTGCAGGTTATGATCATATGGGTCTTCACTTTTTCTAAACAGACTGAGCCTCCCAAGCACCTCAAAAAAGATTTTATTTCTAAGTAATCTCTACACTCAATGTGGAGCTCAGACGTACAACCCTGAGATCAAGAATTGGGGTGCTGTCCAGGCACCCCAATAATCTATACTTTGAACCCAAAGATACAGGGTGGTGAAAAGTACGTTTTAAGAATCAGTACAGATGTGAATTTTTTCTCATGCAACCTCACTGAAACCATATAATGGGGTACGTTTTTCTTTGAGCAAGTCTATACGATCGATCATTTTCTAGAAAGTATCTCTGTCTGTACTAATGTAAAAATAAATGAATAGGGATGCCTGGATGGCTCAGTCTGTTAAGTGTCCGAATCTTGATTTTGGCTCAGGTCATGATCTCATAGTGGGTGGTTTGAGACCTACATCGGGCTCTGTGCTGACTGTGTGGAGCCTGCTTGGGATTCTCTCTTCCTCTCTCTCTGTCCCTCCCCCCGCTCCCTCTCTTTTAAAAATGAATAAACATTAAATATTTTATCTATCTATCTATCTATCTATCTATCTATCATCTATCTATTTAAAATACCATACTGGCAAGGCTTGGGATCTCCCTACTATGGGCTAGATATTTGAATTCCCTTCTCCAAATTTATATGATGCAATCCTACCCCCCAAGGTGATGATATGAGTCCCTTGTGAATGAGATTACTGACCTTATAAGAGAGATTCCAGGGAACTCTTTAGCCCCTTCTACCACATGAGGACATGGAAAGAAGACAGCCATTTATGAACCAGGAAGCAGGCTCTCATCAAATACTGTATCTACGGGCATCTTGATATTGTGCTTCCCAAACTCCAGAAGTGTTGAGAAATAAATGTTTGTCACTTAAGTCACACTGCCCAAGGTTCACAGGGAGGAGGCATGAAGTGGTGGTTATGTTCTGACATGACTGACTTCCCTCTGGGTAAGGAAGGCTGCCAGGCACAGATGGAAAAGATCCCAAAAGTTCTGGACTCCAAGAAGGTGGGGGTGAGGAGGGGGACTTTAGGAGGAGGAGGAGGAGGGGGACCTTGGGAGGATCAGGGCCTTGGAGAAGTACTGCTGAGTCCGGCTTGGAGGAGATGCCATTCCACCTGGTGAAGATGTGATGGAGCAGCTGGCCTGGGACACCAGGTGCAGGTAGCGTGCCAGGTTCATGGTGGGGCAGGACACTGTGACTAGCATGGAGGTCTGAGGGCAAGCATGACTGGGGCCAGTGAGAGGCCACCTCATTCCCACTGGGTATTCACCAGGAGGGCAGCTGGAGGCTGACTCTTTCACCACCTGGCAGAACACACCAAAATCAGGGTGTAGGAAACAGACAAATCAAAACTGAAAAATAGCCACAAGCCCCAGGATTAGGAGACAGTTCCAGAGAATAAAGAAGAAGTGCCAAACCATCAGCTTTCTTGGGTACTGATCTGGGCCAGGAGACTCATGGCCGAATTTTGAACATCCTGGAGCAGGCAGCCAACAAAACAGTCCCGCAACCCCCACCAGAACTCTACTCATATATGCTATTTTGTATTTCCAGGATCTCCTGAGGAGTCTGGAAGAGGGACTGATGGTTGGACACATGGTGGATTTGAAGACAGAAGTCTCCCACCTGGCCCAGGGCTTTGTTTCAAGCCACCCTTCCATCACTGTCAGGGATCTCATCACAGTTAGTTGGGGGTGGTGACACCTGGGGTTGAGCCCATTGCTTCTTACCCAGTATTCTAGATGTTAGTATGGTCCTGGGTCAATGTCTTCTTATCTTCTGTTTGGTTGAACTCCCTCCCGAAAAGCACACCTTGCTTTTGTTAGGTAGCTCAGGAGAGGTGCACAGCTGGCATTTTCTATCTTCCCACAAGAGTGCTATTTTGGTTGGGTATAAAATCTTATGTGGAGAAACCCATTTTCCTCAGAATCGTTTTTCTCTTCTAGCACTCCTGTTCAAATAAATGAAGACATTTTGATGCCCAGGCAGAAATGGCCACAGGGATGCAATTGACCACCAGCTTCTCCAAGAACAGAGGTTTTTAGATCATGCCCTACACCACGGGGTATTAGACACAGGATTAAGCCCTGCCCTTAAAACACTGATACCATGAACTGAGTAGGAGGCTAGAGGAGGTCAAAGGTTCCGGACACCGTCAACATCCCCACACCAACAGATCTTTGCTCTGGGGGCAGTGATTCTCCCATAACTGCAGTTGAACTCAGTTTGCAGTTTTCCAACACAACACTCTTAGGACCATTGTTTTCATTCACCCTGAGAGATACCAGAACCCTCTTCCATCAGTCCCTTTTCCAAGGTCTGATCTCAGTCCTATGGGGCCATCTTTGGGGTTCTGGAGGCAGCAACACTCTCCTCAGAGACCTAAGTTCTACTTCCCCTTCAGCACCTGGATTTTAATACTTCCAATTTCCTCCCTTGGTCCCCCAGCCCTAGGGTTATTGGCTGTCTCTGGGATAATCTGGGTTTTCTTTGCCAGTGGAGTTCTATCATGCCTGGTGACCAATTCTTTCTATTACATTCTCTCTGCTAAAATTACTGATGTGGGCTTGGTCATACAAATAAACCCAGTTGATATACACGGTAGCTTATGCAACAATCTATAACCCCATAGTTTTCTGTTATGCTCAAACTGCTGGAAGACAGGAGTGCTAGTTGTCTTTCCCAGACTTCAAAAATCATTACCATATCCCATGAAACACCATCTATATCCCTTAGTAGTTTTCAATTCTCATTGATTTCTTAATATTTTGTTGTCCTGGTACCAATGCTATATTGACTTGTTATCTGTGAGGTTACTTTGGTTAACTGTGATGAGGGTTATTGGAACATACTTTTATTCCATACATATAATACAACAGTGTAATAAAACCAATAAGTCTAGGGCCTGGGTGGCTCAGTTGGTTAAGCATCCAATTCTTGGTCTCAGCTCAGATCTTGATCTCAAGGTCATGAGTTCAAGTCCCAAGTTGGGCTCCACACTGGGCATAGAGGCTACTTAAAAAATAAATTAAAAACAAAACAAAACAAAACAAAAAACAATAGTTCTTGGTTCTTTATTCAAGTTGGAATCTTCATTATTTAAAAAAAAATTTTTTTTTAATCTTTATTTTTGAGAGAGAGACAGAGTGTGAGTAGGGGAGGAGCAGAGAGAGAGAGAGAGACACAGAATCCGAAGCAGGCTCCAGGCTCTGAGCTGTCAGCAAAGAGCCCGACACAGGGCCCAAACCCATGAACCATGAGATCATGACCTGAGCCGAAGTCGGACGCTCAACCAACTGAGCCACCCAGGTGCCCCAAGGAGTCTTCATTATTTTTAAAAGACCAATGACATTTGCTGATTTTTAGTTGATTTGTTTTTCTTCATGTTATTGAATTTTCAGAGCTTTTCACATATGGTAGATTTTAGTCTTCTATTGATTATTGTATCTGCTGCCCTGGGAAGAAGCACTACCAAGGACATAAGGTATCCTGACTGTGCAGAGCTCCTCCTGGGGTCAGAAACAAGACACTGAGGCAAGATGGAAAAGATGAAAAAGGACAAGTAAGAAACTAAGAATGAATCTTTATTGCTAATCTCCTGGCCTCCAACCATCAGTCCCTATTCCAGATTCCTCAGGGGATCCTAGAAATATAAAATAGCATATAGGGGGAGAGTTCTGGTGGAGGCTGCGGGACTGTTTTGTTAGCCGTCTGCTCTAGGATGTTCAAGATGGGGCCATGGGTCTCCTGGCACAGATCAGTACCCAGGAAAGCCTCTACTCAGTCACGCCATGCTGCCAGTTTCAGCTGTCCCTCAAATAGGTCACAGCCAAGAGCCACAGGCTGTGGGGACAAGGATGGGAAAGTTAAAGTGATACTGAGGCCTCAATGTCAGGCCCCTTCCCCAAACCCCACGTAAGGCCCAGGGCAGTGGGCCAACACTAGGGCCCAAGAGCACCAGCATGAAATACACACAGGAGGGGAGCAGGAGGTCAGGGCTCCATCACTAGTTCAAAGAGAAACTTGCTCTGTGATTCTGGGCAAATTCCTAGCTTTCTGTAGGCCTCAGTGTTTCTGTCTGTGTAATGGGCATGGTGATAGGAGGAATGCTGCCCACAGATAATCCTCCTCTGGCCAAGCTGGTACCTGCACCAGCTCCTCCAGCACCATGAGGTCAGCCAGCGTCACCTGCTGGCTGTTGAGGAAGGCCCAGCCCCCCAGGAACTTGTTCTCCAGCCACTGCAGTTCCGGTCCGTGGCGGCCCTGTTGCGCTCCACCTTCTCCTCAGTCACATGGACCCCAATGAGTGGTGCCAACACCTAATGGGGGCAAAGGGTGGGCTCAGGCTGTGGTCCCTGCCTCCTCCCGGGTCCCTGACAGTCAACAATCCCCAGATAGCTCTCCTCACCTGGGTCCACAAGGGCACGCCAAAGGTATCACGGATGCAGTCAGCATGCCAGCCCAGGTACTTGTGGGCATGAAAACGGGCCCAAAGTTCAGATGGGTACCAGTGGTCTGCCGTCTGGTACTTAAAGCTTAAGTAAATCAAGATGGCGGTGCTGGAGATAAGGGCAAGAGCAGCAACTGTGATGACCCCGGTTCGTGGCCTTTACCTCAGCTGCTCCCATCCCTCAGTGGGGTTCTGGGGCTTCTCTGTACTTGCTGGCCTGGCCTACCTGCAGCTCCCTGGGCATTGCCTCCTCTCTCTCCCCTGACTCTACCCTCCAGATTTCCCTCGTTCCTTTGCTATCTCAAGCAAGGAATCTTGGCCAAACCTGCTGCTTTGAGCATCAAGAGCCTTCTCTCTGTGATATCACAGCAGCGGCTCTCTGAGCTAGAGACTTGTCATCCCATTTGTGCATGAGGAAACAAAGGTTCAGAATAGTGACTTGTGCAAGGCCTCACAGCCCAGAAAAGACTCTCTGGGCCTCTGGAACCTTGTATCAAGTCTAAGTGCATGGGTCAGAGGCCAAGAGGGGAAACATGTCCTCAGATCTGCCATGGGTCCCTTCTGACAGGGTCCTGTGGCCATCACTCCTGCAGCCACCTGACTTCTTGTCCTCTATCTGCCTGGTGGCTGGCCCTCACCATGGGTCGTGCCCTCAAGTCCTGGCAGACCCTGGAGGGTAGCCTGAGGAGTCAGAAGAGGCCCTTTTGGCTTCCATTTGTCGAACCTGCTCTCTGTGCAACACTGGATAAAAGTTCCCATGTTCTCTTTTAAATTTTTTTAATGTTTATTCATTTTTGAGAGGGGGAGAGAGAGAGAGTGAGCATGAGCAGGGGAGGGGCAGAAAGAGAGGGAGACAGGATCTGGAGAGGGCTGCGTGCTGACAACACCAGAGCCAGACGCATGGCTTGAACTCACGAACTGTGAGATCATGACCTGAGCCAAAGTCAGACGCTTAACCAACTGAGCCACCTGGGTGCCCCCACATGTTCTCTTCTAGTAACCCTCAGTCTGGGGGAGGAGAGGCTCTGCGGTCCAGAAGGGAGGAGGAAGGCAAAAGAGGTACAGAGGCATGTTGTATCAGCCCCCCCCCCCAGTCATCCTGATCACCTCCCTCCCCAGCTGTCAGCTCTCACCACACCCCTCACCTTCACCCCCACCTGCCTGCTGTGGTCTGAGAGGGCACACAGTGGGAGAGCCAGAGGCCAGGTGGGCTGGGGGCTTAGGAGGAAGGAGGGAAGATGAGCACCTTTCAGTCAAGACGAAGTCACCATCCTTGAGGGTGGATACCTTCTGCAGGATGTTAAACTGGGAGAACTCCCCGCTCACGAGGCGCCCAGTAGAGGAAAAGCCCTTCGGAGCAAGAACCACACCAGCTGTGCCCTCCCTCTCCCTTCCCCAGCCAGAACCCCAGGGGCCAGGCTGGGCTAAGAAACAGCTGGGTCTGTGGGGAGGGCTGTGTGGGGCCATGGCAGGGCCATGGCTGGGCCTTGGGACCAGGAATGAGGATGGCCTCCTTGCCCTGCCACCTCCCAGGGTGGCTGAGGGGTTTCAGCGGGTGCAGTCAGGTGCTCCAGATGGATGAAGAGGAGTTATTTGGCCAGAACTAGGGTGGGGAGGGGGAAGGGAGGCAAAGAGGGGAGGCTCAGCAACTCTTACCTCTAAATTCTCACATTGTGGCCATGTCCCCAGGGTCTTTAGGGTTTTATGACTTTTTTTTTTTTTTATTAAAAAAATTTTTTTTCAACGTTTATTTATTTTTGGGACAGAGAGAGACAGAGCATGAATGGGGGAGGGGCAGAGAGAGAGGGAGACACAGAATCGGAAACAGGCTCCAGGCTCTGAGCCATCAGCCCAGAGCCCGACGCGGGGCTCGAACTCCCGGACCGCGAGATCGTGACCTGGCTGAAGTCGGACGCTTAACCGACTGCGCCACCCAGGCGCCCCGGGTTTTATGACTTTAAACATAGGCTTTCAAGGCAGGAACTCTGAAAATCCAGTTCAGTAGTTTCTTCCCGTCACACAATGTGGAAATAACATTATCCTCCTTTTCAGAGGGGAAAGCCAAGGTTCAGAGGGCCTGTGACCTGTCCAAGGCCACACAGCAGAGGGCAGTCTCTGGTGGGAGACACAGATGAGAACAAAGGCAAAAGAAATGTAGATAAAATGAAATTTACTTACAACTTGCAGCCCTTTGATAAATACCAGAGACGGAGACAGTGTGACTTTCCTCAAAGAATTCACAACTGCCTTAATGTTAATGTTTTGCCAGAGGCAAAAAGCAACATTAGCTTGACAATAGCCAGACCTCCAGGATCCTGTAATTCTTCTGTAACACACAGAAATCCCTTTAAAGACTTCCTTTGTCTCTACCTGCCTCTCCCCCACCCAATTCCTAAATACCTAATCGGTTGCACCTCATGATCCCAGGGCAACTCTTTCTCCCTCCAGTCTTGTCTCCTGTCTCCATGCTATAATAAAAGGATCTTTTTGCACCCAAAACGTCTCAAGAATTCTTTCTTGACTGTTCCCTCACTGGCCTAAAGTTATTTTTGGCGCCTAACGTGGGGCTATTCCTCTTGTCTGGACTCTGAGCCTTGGTGCAAACTTGGTGAGTTATTCCCTCTTCTTTTATTTCAGAGGCTTTTCAAGAATGTGGTCTTATTGGAACACTTTCATGTCGATTTCTCAGGCTACAATTTTCTAGCCCGTGGCTATGTTACAGAGAGGAACAAAAACCTGCCTTTTGGCTGGAAGTTAGTACTTTGATCAGAATGGTAATAAGACGCAGAAACTTGGTGTTCTCTCTGTATTCTTATTCTTACACAGAGTTGCCTTTCTTGGGCACGGGACAGCCACCTAAGTCACTGGGACAGCTGCCAATTGTAAGACTCCCATGTGAGGTTTCCTCTTCATTGGTCCAATTGTGATCCCCTCCACATCTCTGGTCTAGCTCTTCTACCTGAGAGACCTCCACTCAGAGCCAGCTAAAACCAAAACCTGATTGAATTAAAACCCAACTGGGACCGTTTCCTAGGGAAATTGGCTATAAAGACTACATGTGTTGAAATGTCCCTTAGACCACAATGGATTTCCATCTTTACTATTGTTCATCAATGTCCTCTACTGACTACTTAAATTGTAACGTTAGGTATTTCCCCTCCTGCAAATTCTTAGCATTTCCACGGGTTAAAACAGCAGGGTCTCTTGCTCCATCTACCGGCACCTATTGTGTCTGGGAAAAACAATAAGGAAGCAAAGGGATGTCGACATCCCTTCAGGAGAAAAGTCAGTACTCAACATGGCTCTTTGAGGGATGCCTCTTGTCACTTTGAACACTAGAAACCCTTGATATGATCCTGAGTGGGATGCCACCCAGGAGTCAGGGGGGTATGGTAATGGACTTTTCCACTTTTATAGGACCATGGGATCTTCCTCTTCAGTCCCTAAGGACTCCCTGTTGGGGCATCTCTTAACCCATTGGAACCAATTTGGATTGCAAGATTTAAAGAAGACTCATCTTCTGTAATAATGCATGGGCTCATTACTCCCTAAGAGACGAGGAAAAATGGTCCATTAATGCAACAATAAACTTAAATACTGTATGCCAACTAGATATCTTCTGCAGGAAACAAGGCAAATGGACCAAAGTGCCCTATGTCCGGGCCTTCATGACCTTAAATCAAGATCGTGACAAGGGCTTCTTACAGAATGTGTTTAGCCACTAAGCAGGTTAATAAACCCCCTCTGGACATATTGGATGATGATTGTCTAAATAGGTCCCCTCCTTCTAACAAACCTGGGCTACCCGAGGAATCATCATCCAGTTCAGACAAAGGGGACATTGACTCTGTTACTATCCCTCCTATAAGCCCCAAGACTCTTCTGCTCCCAACCCAGCTGGGCATGCCAGGAGTGGAACCCCCATCTTCCAGGAGCTCCTCCAAAATCTGGACTATATCCCCCTCGGGAGGTTGCTAATGAAGAAGTGGGCACAATTAGAGTCCCTGTCCCATTCTCCATGGCAGACCTGGCTCAGATAAAACAATTAGGATGATATTCTGAAAACCATTGTCAATTTATTGAGGGTTTTCAACAGTTATCTATTATGTTTGATTTGACCTGTCAAGATATCCATGTTATATTAACTCGTTCTTGTACCCATGAGGAAAAGAACCCTATCTGGGCAGGGACTCAAGAATTTGCTGATGAACTAGCAGCCAGAGATAGAGATTGTTACACGGTAGGGGGCGCTGCTGTCCCAAATACTGAACCACATTGGAATTATGCAGGCAGGCAAAGGGAAAGAGGAAACCATAAGATCGCTTGTTTAATAGAAGGAATGAAAAAAGATTCTAAACCTGGAAGCTTTGTTAAAATTCAGAAAGTTCCTCAAGGAGCTGATGAAAATCTGATATGCCCCGATTCGAGAGACCCTCCCCAAAAACAAACCACCAGAGTCCAGAGTCAAAGCCAAGCGGCAAGGGTCATTTATTGCAGGTTCGAACCCGGTCCTCCGTTCACTCGTTGCCGGTGACGCTAAGAGGCCCCCAGCGAGGATCTTACAGCTTCTTTTATAGACAGGCACAAACAAGTTAGGGATTTTTTTTTTGTGGTTACAGAGCTGTTATTGGTTGACATTTAAATTTGAACACTCAGCAGAACTTGATTGGTTCCCGCCTTTAGGTCAGACCACAACCGGGCACGCCCTGGCTGGGAACGGCGGGAACGGCGGGGGTGGGGTTGGGGGGGGGTGTCTTTTCTTTGCAGTTGTGAGTACACCTGGTAATTTTTCTCTTTGTCTCTCATTCCCCGCTCTCTTTGGTGCCTTAAGAGCCAATCTTGGGGGCGCCTGGGTGGCACAGTCGGTTAAGCGTCCGACTTCAGCCAGGTCATGATCTCGCGGTCCGTGAGTTCGAGCCCCGCGTCGGGCTCTGGGCTGACGGCTCAGAGCCTGGAGCCTGTTTCCGATTCTGTGTCTCCCTCTCTCTCTGCCCCTCCCCCGTTCATGCTCTGTCTCTCTCTGTCCCAAAAGAAATAAATAAACGTTGAAAAAAAAAATTAAAAAAAAAAAAAAAAAGAGCCAATCTTGGATCTTATGTGTCTGACTCTAATGTTTCGGTATTGACGGGTTGGTATTGGGTCCTAAGGACCATCAGTTGGATCGTGTTAACTCGGTCTTTGATAAAAGCAACTAGTTTATTAATAATATAAGGCCCGAAGGTGAGGAGAAGGAGGAGTATAAGGGGCCCAGCTAGAGCAGAAAGCAGGGTTGGCTAGCCATGGGGACTCATTGAACCAAGACTCAAACCAGCCTTGTTATTGTTCTCGTTCACGCCTCCGTTTGGCCAGGCCTTCTCTAACTTTAGCCATGGACTCTCGGACTACTCCGGTGTGGTCAGCATAAAAACAACATTCTTCTCTTAAGGCTGCACATAAACCTCCCTGTTGGAGGAAGACTAGATCTAGCCCCCTTCGGTTCTGTAGGACTACTTCAGAAAGGGAGGTCAGAGATTTTTCGAGGTGCGAGATTGAGTCCTCAAGTCTGGCTATATCCTCATCAATGGCTGCCCTTAGGCTATTGAACCCCCGGTGCTGGATGACTAGTGATGAGATCCCTGTTCCTGCCCCTATGGTACCGAGGCCAAATAAGGTGGCCAAGGTTATGGCCGTAAAGGGTTCCTGTTTTGTTCTTATTGACTCTCTTGCTTCCGTCCCTTCTGTCCACAGATAATATACATTTTCTCGGTGGTACATAACCTTTGGAAATACTAATACCATGATACAATATTCGGGTGACGAATTAAAAACATCTCTGCTAACACATGGGGTGAGCCCTGTCTTAGAACAAATCCACCAACTGTCAGGAGCTGGAATTATCTATTTAGATTCATCTATAGAGCAATTAGTCGGGGCACAGAGCTGGATATGGCTAGAGGGGACCTTTCCTATACAAGTCCCATTGCCAGTGACCGCTTGCAGTGTGAGGCCGGGGCCCTTTCGATTCCACTTGCAAGCTGCTGGCGACTCTTCTCCTGACTGTGAAAAAGGGGCAGCTAGACCTATGGCTTCTTGAAGGGGGGTTTTATATCATAACATAGCCAGCAGGCCCTTGTTGCCTCAGGGTCCGATCAGTTTAAGGCCTCATACGCTGCTGTTAGCAATTTCCATAGGGAGTCTATGCCTTCTGGGTTCTGATTTTCTTGGACAGCTTGTGATTTTACTCCTGGGGTAAGGACGGGGGTCCTGCTGGAGGGAATAGTGGGGATCTGCCTGGGGATAGGCTCGTCTCTCTTTTTTTTTTCCTAATACCTGATTTGGCCCCACCGGTTGTACAAGAGGGGAGACTTTTAATTTTATTTGAATGGCAGTCCCAAAGAGGGGACGTTGATATAAGTAGAGTCCCCAAGTTAGTCCTAAGACCCATCACCTGTCTTTTTTCCCTTCCTCTGTAAATCTTTTTTTTTTTAATTTTTTTTAATGTCTATTTATTTTTGAGACAGAGACAGACAGAGCATGAACAGGGGAGGGTCAGAGAGAGAAGGAGGCACAGAATCTGAAACAGGCTCCAGGCTCTGAGCTGTCAGCACAGAGCCCGACGCGGGGCTCGAACTCACAGACCGCGAGATCATGACCTAAGCTGAAGTTGGCCGCTTAACCGACTGAGCCACCCAGGCACCCCCCTTCCTCTGTAAATCTTACACGAATAAGGTTACAGTTTTCATCATACCTGGTGCGGATACATGGTCGGACATGGGACATTTCAATAAATTGGGGTTTTACTTCCCACTTCCATTCCCCATCATTGGAGGTGACGCAACTCCAGGCTGCGCAATAGAGGGTTTCAAACCCTCCACATGTGAGCCTCATCGCCCCCGTCCTAAATCCCAGACATGCATAAAATCCATTTCTACTTATTGATACCCTCCTTTGCAGTTGCCTCCATTTACCTCCTTCAATTTCTTCTAATGGACTAACTTTTTCTAAATTATTTAAAAAAATTTTTTTTTCAACGTTTTTATTTATTTTTGGGACAGAGAGAGACAGAGCATGAACGGGGGAGGGGCAGAGAGAGAGGGAGACACAGAATCGGAAACAGGTTCCAGGCTCCGAGCCATCAGCCCAGAGCCTGACGCGGGGCTCGAACTCACGGACCGCGAGATCGTGACCTGGCTGAAGTCGGACGCTTAACCGACTGTGCCACCCAGGCGCCCCAAACTTTTTCTAAATTAAAATATAAATCTGGCCACCAGGTATTTAATGGGGCAGTTCCTAGGGTTTTGTTGTAGATTTCATGAGTCTCTAAGTTAGTAATTTCCCATGTCAAATTATAGGGGGTGTGGGGGTTTGGATTTACAGACAGAATTTGCAGAACAATCAAGAGGAGAGCAAGTACCATAGTTACGGCTCAGTCCGTTGGCAGCGTAGGGTCAATTTTAAAGGATTGTCCTTAGTCCGATCAACAGTCCAGGTTGTCTTTGAAGGTCCGATGAGGTCTGAGAACGGGTCCACTAGTTTGGCGTGGGCGAAATGGATCCAGGTGGCGATTCCGTCTACTTTGATGGCAGTAGGCATTGTCAGGATGACCTGGAAGGGTCATTTCCACCTGGGCTCCAGAGTTCCCTGCCGATGACGTTTGACGAGGACCCAATCCCCTGGCCGGAATTGATGTGGAATAGGC